CCAAGGGTTGAGATCCCCTTACCGGTCATCTTTTTTAAAAAAAAATAAAAATAAAAATAAAAAAACTGACCTAAAAGTTCTGATTCTTTATACAAGGAAAAGAGAGGTACCTACATTCTTACAATATGCGGTGATATGATATTAGTAGTATGGAGTTTTTCTTCTGTATATATTTTTTTCAGGATGGAGACCTGCATATGGAGTTTACAACATGTGGGTATCTCTTTTTGGAGCTATTTTGTGCTGTGCAGTCATGTTTGTCATCAACTGGTGGGCCGCTGTCATCACCTATGTCATTGAGTTCTTCCTCTATATCTATGTGACTTATAAGAAGCCAGGTAAGATAAGAAGGACTGTATAAAATGACGTTTCCAAATCTCTCTCTATCCATTCAATAAACATCTATTGAGCAGCTTCTATGCACTTGGGTAAGTTGTATATTAACATTATGTAATGTAGTAACAACAATAGTTAATCTTGTTGAGCCCCTATTATATGGCCTGCACTCACTTAATCCTCACAATACTGCTATACATTTGGTATTTCTAGTCCCATTTTACAGATGAAGAAACTGGGGTTCAAAGAGTTGGCCATTTGTCCAAGTAACAATCAGGATATGATTGAGCTAATAATTTAACCAGAGTGGGTATGATATCAAACCCTATGATCTTTCCGTTATATCACCTCTGCTTCTAATGACCTGATAAAAGAGATACAGTCATGTGTTGCTTAATGATGGGAATATGTTCAGAGAAATGTGTCGTCAGGTGATTTCGTCTTTGTGCAAACATCATAGTGAACTTACAGAAACCTAGAAGGCATAGCTATGCACCTACAGCTCCATTATAATCTTATGGGACCACCTTAGTATGTGAAGTCCATCAATGACCAAAGTGTCCATGATGGGGCGTGTGACTGTGTAGTCCCTCTCATCAAGGAGTTCTCAGACTCACACTTAAGCTATTAATTATCATACAGTATAGTAAGTACTGGGAGAGTAATATGAACAAACTGCTGAGAAAATAGAAGGAACTGATTAACTTTGATTAGAGTTGTCAGATAAAACTTTCTTTCCTGGTTCATAGCTTATGTTCCCAGGGTCAAGCACTCAATAGACATTTAAGAAATATTTGTTGAATGAACAAATAATCTAGGTTTAAAAGGAACAAGTGACTAGGGGTGGGTTAATCAGACAGTCAGGGAACGGTATTCTAGGCAGAAGGAAAGCATGAGTGAAGTTAAGGACAGCACGAGTGCATGGCCTGTCTGGGGAGCTTCCAGGCCTTCAGCACACGTGAAGCTCTAGCGTGCAAAGGGAAGGGGCACAGGTGAGCCTGGAAGTGTAGGTTGGGGCCAGATAAATAAGAAACTTAAATGTCATGCTAAAGCATCTGGACCTTGTGTGGAACAAGAAGATGCTATATGTTATTCGACCAGAGAAACATAATTGGATCTGAACTTCAGATGTTAACTCAGAGCCAGTGAGCAGGGTGGATTGGAATTTGGAAAGGAAAGAAACCCCAGAGCCACCCTTACACTCGCCTTAGCCTTTCTCTGCCACTAAGGCAGACAGAGTAATAACTACATTAGAGGTGTTTGTTTTTCTTTATTGCTTTGTATATTTTTAATATCAGGTATAATTTACAGATGGCAAAATTCACCCCTCTTAGATATGCAGTCTGTAAGTTTTGACAAACTAATACAGTCTTTTAACCACCACAGTCAAAATACAGGAGGACATTTCCATCATCCCCAAAAGTTCCCTTATGCCACTATGTAGTCAATATCTTCCCCCCGACTTAGTCCCTAGCAACCACTTTTCTGATTTCTGACCCTATAACTTTGCCTTTTCCAGACCATCATATAAATA